AACATGCCCAGGAAAGCACAGGATCATTTTCCCTGATTATTAAATGCATTCCATTCCACACTTGTTTTGACATTGTCCCTCAGAGAAAAATATTTTGTTTTATGGAGAGACCTCATTGTTGCTTTTCCTGTCAGGAATTATTGCTCCATAAGTGTTCAGCTCCATCCAAACCCTACAATGTAAAGTTCTTTAAAATTCCTTCTGGATCCAAGTCCTACAGCTGAAGTTTAACTTGTTAGGTTGTTCCAAAACCTCAAAGATCACAGAACTGAGATAAAAAATGTGGACAAGAGTTGAAATTCAATGTAGTCTGTCCTCTGCTAGGATGGATTATGGGAATATAGGAGATAAAATCCATACAGGGATTGCATGAGGCATTAATGAAGCTGTAGGTGAACAGACAGGAAAGAAAAACTCTGGTTTTCACTCTCGTCAACAGATACTCAAAAACACCCAATTATAAATATAAGTGAATAAGCACAATGACCATTTTCATAATGTAATATTCATACTTTTCTCCAAGCCTTGCCTGAAAGGAGACATTAAAATAAATTTAAATACAGCCACCCACACCTTGAGCTATCAATGCTCAGGTAATTCACACATTCACATAAGGGATCAATGAGCAGCTTCAATCTCAATAAACCTCTTGTTTCAATTATCTGAAGCCAAAACCACCTTTTTCTGCTAAAGCTACAACTCTTCCCTGAATTTTCAAGAAATGTGCCACTAAGGACTGAAAATTGTCCAGCTTTCTCCTTTTCTGAATGATCATGCATTAAAAACGCACCCCCCACGGGCAGTGCCATTGAATTAAAAATGAAGTTTCACATCTTTAAAATGAAGCATGGGATGAATTTCCTGAACATTTATCCTTAAATGAACTTCAGCTGGGAGCAAGTCACAGAATTAATTTCTTAGATTTTGGGTTATTTTTCACCATTAATTGAAGTATTGACAGAAATGTGAATTCTGCCTCTGGTTGTTGAGCACAAGGGTCCTTCTCAGGCTGGAGGAGACGAACCTGAGCTTTGTCACTGATGAGAGCAGGGAAAGGTCTCTAAATCCCTCTGCAGGGACTGACTCAGGGCTGTGGCACATCAGTTGTCAGGAACAGAGCACAGATCAAAAATTCCAGATTTCCAGGCCTGAAGATTGGCATTCTTATCTATAAAAAATCAGGAATTATTGGCTCTAGTTTTACCTTTTCAATTCCAACACGCCCAAAGCCTGAACAGAATTTACTTCCTTTTGGCCAGGTAAACCTCACTCCCTTCCCTGTTGGGACAGGGAATGTGGAGAGGAATTCATTCCATTAAAGTTGTGATCCTGCTGCTTTCCTGCAAGGAGAGACTGCAGGAATGATCCCAGGGAAGTGGTGCTGAAATGGAAATTCTGAATGAGGGACTCGTGCCAAAGCAGCAAAGGGATTTATCCTGCTGGGCAAAAGGGCTCCCAGATATTTATTAATCTCAGGACATCCTGCTGGGGTCCTGCTCCGGAAACAGGAGGGAAAGGAAATCTCTGCTGGTGTCTGAATGTGGAAGCCTGGCTTGGTCATTCATTGTCTGTGCAGTTTGATAATTACCTATTTCCTAAGCAAATTGCTTTGGACATTTACTCGGGGGTAGGAGATTAATGAAGTTCTCTGCAAACTTCAGGAACCTGGAAAACTCCAAAGGTTCCGGAACTCCATTTTCCAGGTCAGCGGCTGTTGGTCACCCAGCAGAGAGCTCAGGTTTGTACCCGAGCTCGCACAGAATGGATCCAAACCTCCCTCACAGCAACACCCCTGTGGATCTTTGAGTCCACTGCATGGAAATAGCAAAAATCCCCAGCGGGTCAGTAAATATCCACCTGGGATTTACTGCCCAGGAGCAAGCCAGGGTTTCCAAAGAGCTGCTAACGAGGCTGTCAAGGTCAGTTCAACGAGATAACAACGCTCCTCTGAAGGTTAAACCATAGAAAGAACATTTGTGAGCAGTGAGAGATGCCCGGAGCTGAACAAACTGTTTCTCTTAGAACTTGTCCCATACTGGCACAGCCCCACTGGCTCCAGTGCAGTAATATTAATTTATGATGCTGTAAGAAGAGGCTTTGTGTGGGTTTTTGTCCCGAGATTTTGGGTAGATCCCCCACATGGACCTGCACCTCAGCACGAGCTTCCCAGGGATTGATTTCCCATCCTCTTTGCTCCCAGTGTCACCCTCACCCCGCCAGGAATGGTATTTTTAAAATATGCATAATTTCTTCTGATTCTGCAAAAATTCCAGCTATTTTCATCGCTCCTCAGAACTTTCTATGGATTTTATCTTGTCCTCATGGCAGACAAATGTCCCAGTCCCCTCCCTGGGACCTCCACCAGGCTGTGTTCAGGCTGTGCCAACGATGCAGAAGCCTCTTTTGCAAAGCTGCAAAGGCTTCAAAATAAATAATGGAAGACTAATTCTAGAGAAAAAATAGAACTCTTTATTTTCTTAGAAAACTGCCTAGAAACATTCAGACAATGCACAAACTGTTTTAGACATTGTTATGGGGGTACATTTACATGTCTGAGCATAACAGAGGAGACCAAACAAATGAAAAACAAGGGACAGACCAACAAGTACTAAGAAGTGCATCATTTCAGCATGTAAAAAATAAATTGAGGGTTATATATAGAAATAAAGCTGTACTTGAAACTGCAAAATTGTAAAACCAGTGACCATAACAACCAAAATCCAGTATTGCATGGAGGGCAGTGACAATTTGAACCTTTAGATATTGTAGTCTCCATGAGAAATAGACCCCCTGGAAATGTTTAGGGTCCTCACTTCCTGTGGAACTGTTCTTGGAAGCATAATTTTATGTGCTTAATCTCACGTAACTATCCTGTTGGGATCATCAGCATTCTGCAGAGGCAGAACCCATAGGGTTCCCGTGGCTCCGTTTCTTTTCATGCAATGAAAGACCACCAAGTTTTTACAGTGAAAGTGGGATAAAAGGGGTTGTGCAGGAGCTGCAGGGATGGAAATCCACCGGGAAGAGCAGAGGCTGTGTCAGGCATAAGCTTGCAACTGCTCAAAGCAAAGCAATAAATCCTGCCAGGTGCCTTTGTCCCCATTTCCAATGCCAAGGAAATGTCTTTCTTTCATTATCCCAATCTGCCAGCCCTGTTTTAGCCTTTTTCCAGACTCCCACCTCCCTTCTCTGGCACTTGGAGAAGGACTGAGGCAGTTTCCTCTCCCACTCCGAGCTCCCAGGGCCAGTCCAGCCCTGACTGGTCCCAAACTGGAGGCAGCTCTCCCCAAACTGGGCTGTCCAACCACCCCCGGGGCTCCTCATCCTGCACAGTCCCTCAGCTGCACTAAATCCCCGGATTTCCACAGCTCTGTGAAAGCACTTGGCATTTTTCTCTCTTTTTAAGCACATTTTTCCCAGTGAAACAGCCTGGGAGCTTTTCCTGGTGCCACTTCTGGCTCAGTTGTTCAAGAGATGTGGTGCAGTTCTTCCCTGGGTTCTCCAGAGCTCCGACTCCCACAGCTGATGTCTCTCTTT